CCCTGGCCTTGGATGTGTCTTGCTGCTACAGCAAAATTTAGCACTGTTATCTCTGGTATAAAGACAAATTGTGGGTGTTTCAGGCTTATATAAACTTAGGTACTGTGATTGATTGTTACACTGCAGTGGGGCAATGAAATTTTATGCTGCACTTGCAACTGGCTTAAGACCAGTGTCTGTATCTTATAAAAAGCACAGCCTCCGGGATGAAGTTTGCATGACTGCAAGTGACTGCATGTAGGCCAGCCTTGCTAACCTGACTCCTCCAAGGAACAATTCCATCCTGGTGCACACAGGAACACAGCTTTCCTTGTTGTTGTCCTCTGAAGTTCGGGGTTTCTGGGCAGAAGTACAACAAGCCATCAACCTCTGCTCCAGGGTCCATCAGCTTGTCCTGCTATCTTAGCCCCTTCAGCCAACACATTCCCCTGCTTGAAGGACCTCCAGAAAGACTTGGTTAGTATAGTCATCATCTCTTCCCATTCCCTGCACTTCAAAATTATCTCCCTACCTGGCAATGTAATGGACTGGCAGTTTGAGAAGTGCATCTAATTCCATGTGCTTTTGCTCCCAAGATCACACCAGTGCTAAATAGACTCAAGAAATATGCAAATACTACCCTCCCTGATTGGTAGGTCCTTGGTGCATTGCAGTATTGCACATACTTTTCCTTTGTGGCCTGGTCATTTAATCCTTCTCTTACCCTTTTCCATATTAATGCTGATCAGGCAAAACAACTCAAGACTGTCAGCAAGAGGAAACCGCAATTATTTACATTAAATTTTGACCAAGGGAACACCCTTAGTAAACCAGGCCACAGAGGACACAAAGCCTCCTTGCTCTTTTCTTGCAGGTTTCTTGTTTGCTGTACAGGATATTTAAAAATATGCCATTTTTTTCTACATGCAAATGACATCTTAAACACTCAGACAAGTTCAAATTAATGCCTGAAATTATTTTAAGAAGAAATATTTGGTACCAGAAGGAGGAGATGGTGAAGATTTAAGTGTTACTTCTTATTAGCCCATTGGCATGTTATGCCTTATTTCAAATAACTGGAACAGACAACAGCAAAGGTGATGAGGGCTTCCTAGAATGGCAAGAGCATTTGCTGAAGGAATACTGGGCCCTGTTGTAGCAAAATTAAGTCCTGCCAATTTTGCAGTTAAAGAACTTGTGAAGTTCTTTCCTTTAAACAGATAATTGCTCCATTCATGTCCTGTACTAATACTCAAATGTATCCTAATTATATTTTTGCATACTGAATTTATTTAGTTTTTTTTAAAAAAATCAGTATTTAATCTTGCACTCTTTCATGCATGGTTACTAAACTTGTACCACATTTTCACCTCTGTTGAGCAAAACTAAGAGCAAGGGCCAGCCCCACAACCTGCTTTAAGTCCCAAAACCAGTAGAGCACAGCTGAGCTGAGGGTCTCAGCTGACCCTTTACTGACAGAGATTTGATAGACAGCAGTGTGTAAGTAAACGGCAAAATAGCACCCCGGTTTCTCTTCCACCTCTTAGGAGAGCTTGTTGTAGAGGATTAACTTGATGACCAGGCTGAAAAAATCAGAATTGGATTAGCCAAAGTATATTGCATGATGAAGATTTTGTCACAGGATGTAGGACCCCACAGCAGACTGTGATAAACTGCCCCTTAAATTAATGTTGTGTGACGTATGGACATTGTTCATATTTAGTGGAGAATTATCTTGTTTCTTCTTGCACTCTCATAGTGCTGGGAAAGACTTTGGCTTTGGCCAAAGGTGAGGAAACAAGGAAAATCCCAAGCCTCAGTAGAGCTGGGACAGTGTGGGAGTCTGGGAGTTTTATCTTGAGGAAGTCCATGGGTCCCAGGATCTTGTTCAAAGTTTCCCAATGATGAGGGAGACCTCTGGTTGCTGAATACAAAACACAATGAAAAAACTATCAAGAAGTGGCATGCAGGACTTTAAATAAACAACTATTTTAAAGTGAGAGGTCAACTAAAGCCACAGCCAGAAATCTAAAATAAAGAGCTTTGTTCATGCAGTCTGTATGCATGAAAAAAGCATTCTAAGTATTTCTGTAATTACATGAAAATAACTTTGTTTTGATCTTCTGTCTACAGAAAACTGCCTTTAATGGGAGATCTATAAAGTGCTCATTGTTGTACATGAGTGAGTAGATGGCTGAATGAAAAAACATGTGATTAAACTTCTTTCCACTGTGCCTAACTCTAGAACATCATAAATCCAAACAATTTGGGATCACATCATCATTTGGATAAGTAAAACATTTCTTGTAGCAATCCTTGCTTCAAGGAAAAGTGGATTGTTCAAATACACTGTTGAGATTTTCTTTTTCTTCTATAAACAAGCATTCTGACAAAATGCAGAACAGATTTCAACAATAATTTCAAAGTTATTCCTTAAACTGTTCAAAGCAGAATAATTATGAAAAGGTGATGGCACCAGCAGCAGAAGAACCAACAGAAAATCAGCATTTTCTACTCATTTGGCTTAATGAGGTCAGTACCATTGCTTAATCCTAAATTTAATTCTAGAATAATCCCTTTATTTATTTTTCTTGACACTGCAAAATTTGCTGTACATTGCATTTCTTGGTGATCAGTTATTCATAGGAGTTGCCCTTTCTAAACCCTGTGTTTCTGCTGCAACAGGAGTTGTGTCTTTCAGGACTTTCAGAAAGCAGTGACAGTACAGTAAAATACATGACAGTAAAATAGTTGTTGCAGATATATAGAATGATCCATATTTTGATTTAGTAATTTCCAGACAGTTCTCCAATGAGAAATACTAATACGTTTCTTCAGAGAAAAAAAAATTGATAATACACATAGAAAGCAGATTTTTGACTTCAGAAGATGAAGTCTTTGGCAATTATCCTCATTTAATTATACCAGTTAATGCATCACCCTTTCAGATGTTCCAACAGAGTAGTTCGCGCAGCTGCTGATGAATCAGACTGAGGACATCATCAGCCTCAGAAAACACAGGTTTTTGGGAGTGTTTCTAAAAATGAGATCTGTTTACAAGCTGTTTCACGGTGTCTTATGATACTGCTGCACAAACAGCTGTGGCAGCACAGCTGGGGAGAGTGGCAAAGGGTGGGAAGGATATGAATATCTTACATTGGCAGTGATGGCAAAGACTTCGTTTTTTAAAAGATAAAAATTTGACTTTGTCCTTTCTTACCACACAGCACATTGTAGGAAGCATTGCAAGGTAGTATGTAGAATGAAAAGAAGACTTTACAAACAGAAGGTTGTTGGACTGCTGGCTAATTGGTTTTGCTAATTTTCCCTCTTCCAGTTTGTAGCTGTTGTGTGTATTTAAATATATTGTTTCAACATCATTTATACCTTTGTACTTTAGCAGAAATACTTACGTCCCCCACTGATCTTTGTCCAGAGCCGGTGTCTTATTTTTGACACCATGTCCCAGACAAGTTCTATTTGTCATAATAGACTGCTAGGAGCTTGCAAAGGTCTAATTTTTTTCCCAGTCCTTCTACATCTTGATGACAGGCAGAGCTATCAGCATTCCACACCCTGGGGTAACAGGTCAGCATAGCTGCTGGTGACAGAAGCCTGTATCTGAAATGGAGCAGATACTAGGATCAGCCCAGAAAATATTACCAGATTCTGTGTGAGCCATTCAGCCTACTGTGGCAATACAATCTATTATTTCCTTCCTATAGCACCTCTTGTTGGAGCAAGCATTACATTAATGAAAGCTGTCTTCAACAAGTAAGCCTAGAGCCGTGACACTAATATTTTTGAAATCAAATGTACTACCGTAGGTACATATATTCCTGCATTAAATTCTTGCTTTTATGCACTCACACTTGCACACAAACATATATAATGCACTTCATTCTTACTGTATTTGCAATCCAAGTGGCTTGGGTATAAGACATTCTGTCATGTAGGTTCTATGATAACTACATATCTAATTTCGACACCAGCTACTGACTATGTCTAATAACTGCTTCTCCCAAATTTAGATCTTGATGAACCTTCCTGAGCCATGTACTCTGCCTTGCCTTTTATCCTGTGTACAGAGACGCAGACTATCTTTAATCCATGTATCTGTCCTCCTCACTCTTTTCTCTCCTCTCAATTTGGCCTAATGTTAGATACTGAATTTTGGCTGGTAATATACACAGAATAAATGTGCTGGGTCAGGCAGTTTCTCTTTTCAAATAAACAAATGCATTGTAATTACTTTATTTGTTTCTGCCTAAAGAAGTAAGCATCATTTGGCTTCACCACAGGAGCCAAGAGGCTGCAGTATTAAACTGGACATTTGTTTCTCAGTCTGCTCAAGTGCCTTGTCTTGAACATGTTAAAAAATGTAGCAGAACTACATGGGCTTTCCAGAATGTTTTGACCTGGGAGTAGTGCATGAAGAGAGAAAGACGAAGTTTCCAATAGTAAAAGAAGATGGAAAAATCAAAACTCGTGTTGTTGCTTTGAAAAAAATACTAGAGTATTTCCTTAATCAAAATAAATGTTAGTGTTTGTTTTTTAATCCTGTATGCACTCATAATATATAGTTTAATTACAGGAAATATGTGTTTGATGCATGCTCATAAATATTTTTGGTTTTGCTCTCAATGAAGTGTTGAGCACTCTAACAAATTGTTTTTTCTCTAGATAGTGTTGGACAGGTCCGTGTTTGCCTGGACTCACTGTGTGTGGGAGACTCAGACACTCAGGTGGTGGTTAACTTCTTGCTTCTTGCAAGATGGGGGCCCCAGCTTCTGCTTTAGATGATATGTGTGAGCTACTTTAAAAATATTTTTATTTTTTTATGCAAAACATTCTTTCTGTAGGTCCAGATATGTGTCAGCTACATTTCCACAACCTCAGACACAAATTACCAGGGCAGCAAATACACATTCAAATTCCAAATATGCTTTAGTAAAGCACAATGTTAAGAATGTCTTATTTTCTTTTTTTTTCCTTTTTTTTTTTTTTTTTTTTAAAGCTAGTTAGTGCAGTATTAGGTAGGTCACTCTGGCCACATTCCCAGAATTTAACAGTGGGGGCCTTGTGGAATGCTAAACGATGTGTATAACAGCATTCATGCTCTCTGTGAGCCAATCCGTCAAAACATTTGCTGCTTTGAAAATGTGCTCTTCAAAAAAATGGGCATATGGAACTTATTAGACTATTTGGTGGAGTTCAGGCAGCAGAGCCCAAAAGAAGCATAAAAACATCTGAGGACACAATTCTACCTTAAGGTAATAGGATCTCTAAACTGTTTTTTGCAATCAAATGCATACAGAATGCAGGGGAGAAACATCCTGAATGGAGAACATTGCATATTCCAAATAGTCACAAGACCTTAAGTAAAAATCTTGTAATAGTAGTAAAAAAAATAGTAGTTTGATTGCAGCAATAGTTTGTGTGTTTGGTTCTGTTTCTTCAGCAGAGTGTATTTATTCTTGGTTCTTTAACAGTTCGAGTTGTATCAAGGAGCTCTGAGTCGAGGTTTCACTGCAGCGATTTCTGTGCCTCTGGTGCATTGGCAGAGAGGGTCAATCAGTCTCCTTGGAGATGAAAAAAGACAGTGCTGCAGATGGGAAACACAAATGAGCTGCCATTTTCCAGCACCTGTTTGTACCTTCTTCCAAGTGATTTCTTGTCCCTGTTGCAGTGAGACCAGAATGACAAAATGAACAAATAACTTAGATTAAATTTTGTCTTTGGCAGCCATAGCAAGAGCTTACACTGGATTTTGCTGCTCCATGGTGTTCCTAGAGCAGACTGTTACATGGTGTCCTTCTCTGGGAACAGAATTAGAGGATGGAGGGCTCTGTGCAATACCTATATTCCCTCCCTTCCTCTCATCTGCTTTGACAGTCTGAGCATGAAACTGTGGCCTGTGCAGGGTATTTACACCATCCTGCTAGCTTTGCTCTCTCATGCAAATAATTAAACGGACATCCTGATCTTGTGTAACTTCTTGCATACAATTTGGTGTTACAGGACAATTTAGGACCTCTGACCATCTTTTTCTGTCCCATTAGAAGATGGACAGCTAAAGTCTGAGACTTTGTTTTGTTGATATATCCCTACTGAAGGAGTAGAGATACAGAAAGAGATTCTCTTTCTATGTGACTGTAATGCAAGGAGACAAAAAGCCATACTGAAGTATTAAAAATGGATTGTTAACTGTAAAAATAAGGTAAAGTGGTGACTTTGGCTGCTGTGGTATAGAGTGATCTTTGTTATGGCAGTGTTTGAATCAAGAACCGAGATGCACAGCAGGTTGTGACAGTTGTGCTGTTGTTATACAGAATTATGTTCCTAGCAGGTTAACAAGTTTGTGACCTTTACGGGAGTGATGGACAAATAACTTCATGCCACACTATGCTAGCAAGTCATGCAGGATGTGTGGGGAAAGATTCTAATATTGTAAATGCTGATTTTTTAACAACCTCTGGAACAGAGTAAATCACTCCAGAAAAAAGATCTCAGACATGGGACATTGTAATGGTGGGGAACAGAGAGAAATGAGGGAGAATGAAACATCTTTGCCTTCATGTACAGCTCCTTGGAAACTTCAGTGACTCTTGTCCAGCAAGCTTAATATGATAGTAGGCAATATCATGAGACTCAATTTGTTATCATTGCTACCAGGAGTTCAAATGGAGTGCCCCTATCTACTCTGAAGATAAGGTGTATTGTTGTGTAATGCATAGGTCCTTGAAATAAGCTGTGGCATCCACAAGAGAAGTCTTGTTTTTTGGTGGTTTTTTTTTGTTTTGTTTTGTTTGTTTGTTTGTTTGTTTGTTTTACTTTATCCTGGCATTTGGAAGAGACTGTTGAGATAGAAAAGTTTTCTGGGAACTGGACAGTGCTGTATGTGGAAACCTTTGAAAAAGTTGCTGGTTGCCTCCATTTCCAAACTACAGTGAATAAGTAAATCAAGTAAAACTGCAAATATACTTCCAGTTTTCTGCCACTGATTTTCCCACCTGAGAAAAATCAGTCTGCTACATTGAAGAACTGAATCTTCATATGGCAGGAGCATGGCAGTGGAGGAACAGTTCTGGAGCCAGGACAAAACTTTCTCCCATAATGCAGGCATGAAAGAAAGTAGCCCCAAATCTGCCTGGATAGAAACTTCAGAAGTTCTGTGCTTTGGCCTTCTGCCATTACTTTTGAAGTCAGGGACTTCTCCCATTGTGTTAGATTTTAACAGTCAGAACAATTTCAACCCTTTTTTAAAAAACATCTTACCCACTGTTTACAGTGCATGGTTGTATTCAGTCAGAAGATTTTGGTGCAGGAAAGAATTGTGGTATTTTTTAAATCCAGAAGATGGCCTCTCTGATTTGTTCATATTAGCCCTGTACTTTTAGGGTCCCCTTGATTCTCTTCCTGACACAGTAAGATGCTACAGATAGCCCACTGGTATTTCCTTATTCTGAGTCCCACAGCGGTAAAATGCAAGGAGGACATGTGACAGAAAGGCAGATGCAGAACTGCCTCCAGCACCTGCACTGCCTGCAGGTCTGGGGTGGCATGCAGTGTGTCATGGAGGATGGTCTCTTCCTTTGTGCTGTCTCCCTTCTCCTTTCTGACGTGGAACACTGTGCTCACAGTGCTGTGAGAGCTTTTCTGGGAAGGTTAGTCATGTAGTACTGGTTTTTGTTCTTATGGCTCTGTTTCCAAGAAAAAAAATGCTGTTTGCACCTCCTCACTCTGTGTGCTGAGTACAACATCCAGCTTTAGGTCACTGCCTTATGGACAGGTTTTCTTTTTTTAGTGTAAGTATGGGTTCATGTTAAAGGGATTTTGCTGTCACACCTCTAATTAAATTACCAAGCTTTTTGAATACTTTGTACCAAATAGGATTTTCTTAAGTCTTACTGGTTTAGTACTCAAAATTCAGTTGTGGAAGTAACTAAACAAATTAAATATTTGATATTGAAATCTGCCTGTATTCTGTTCTCTGTTTTAAATGGTATCTATTGAGACATTAAGCTTTGTTCTGCCCAGGTTATTTTCTTTATTTATATAATTTTAATTTATTTTATATTGGTATTCTGCAGCTACTTCCAAAGGGATTTGTGCCTGGAAAAATTAGAAAAATGAGCCATGTAAGTCCATGAGAGAGGTTATAAAATAAACATTATACCATATGTGGGGTACCTTTTTTTTTACTGCAAGTGGCTGCTCTCACTTTTTTGGCACTTAAACACACAGCCATCTGTTTGAACACTGTTTGAAGTGGCTATATTCCAGCATTTATGTAACTTGCTTGTAGAAAGGAAATGACATCACTTAGTTTCCTGAAGCATATTACCAATGTCAGAACTGAGGAAATAAAATCTACAATAAATAGAATATTTTAAAATATTTTTTTCCATTTTCCAGTAGGACATCTCTCCATACTGTTCTGCTCATCCCATCAAAGACCAGGGAACCCCATTAATTTCACAAAGACTTCCACACACGCTGCCATGAGCAGGCTGCAAGCTGCTGTAATTTATGTGTTACATTGATGAAATGAAATCTGGCAAGACAGGAATGAAATTATACAATGACAAAGCCTGCAATGTGCCTTCATGTAAAGATATAGGCATAAAATAACAACAGCAATTTCATAATTAGACTGTGTAAAGCTTCAGCATCTTCAAGTGACTGCAAAAGTGGAGCAGCTAGGAAAAAAGCTGGGAACCATTTTATGTAGGTATGAACCATATAACAGGACCTGAGAAACTGGCATGAATTGTGGTAGGGGACATTTGGTTTGGATATCAGGAAAGGTTTTCTCTCCCAGGGGGTGGCTGAGCACTGGAACAGGCTCCCCAGGGAAGTGACCACAGCACCAAGCCTGACACAGTTCAAGGACTGTTTGGATAGTGCTCTCAGGTCCAGGGTGTGACTTGGGGCAGGGCAGGGCTTGGACTCCATAATCCTTGTGGGTCCCTTTCAATTCAGCATTTTCTGTGATTCTGTGATATTTGGTTTTAAATGTAAAGTTTACGTTATTAGAGTCTTCATAAAGGCTGCATGTGTTCTGAGATATTTGTTTTAAATCTTTGCCAAGCTATAAAGTTCCTCTACTGGTAATTTTAACTGAGCCATGTTGAATTACATCACACAAGGGCTTTATCGTACTCTGTCATGCCAGGAACTTTTCAAAATTTGTCCTAGCTGATAACTCCTGTTTTGCTGTCTGCTTCTTCTACAGTAAGTTATCAAGTGAATTAAGGACTACTGGATCACCTAGCTAGCAGACCAAATAAAATAGAAAGGTCTGTTACTTCTTAAAAAGAATTTTGGTTAGAGTTTGCTTTTTAATTTCTTTTTGTGAGGGATATTGCAAAATAGACAAGTAGTATTCCTAAAGGGCCAACTTTGACTGGCAGAAGTTTCATATCACCTTTATACTTTTTAAGGTACTTCATGTTTAAAACAAGTATAAACTAATGGCAAACAAACTGAAATTTCCAGAAACTGTGTTCTTTTCTATGCTTGATTGTTGTTTATATAAACGCTGTTGTTTATATAAATGCTTATTCAACACTATTCAGAGTGTCTCATAAATTACAGTGCAGCTGGAATTTAATCTGTCTTTATTAAACAGATTTGGGCTGCCTATTCTTCACATTCCTATACTTTTGAAAGTTTTTCCTAACAGAGTCATTATTCCTTTCAAAAGGAAGTGAGAATAAAGGTTGGCCAATGATGACCCTTAATAATTTATAGACTTAATATAATCTTCTTGTTTATGACTGGCCTTGAATATTCCCCACCATATATTGAAATCTGAGAAGCCACTCCTACCCACTTGAAAACAAAAATATTACTAATCTTTGTGTCTCCACAAGGAAATTAAATATCCTTAATAGGTAGGGATACATTTTAACTGGAGATATTGGTTAAAAAACTATGGCATGGTTTTATAATAATAATAGGAAAATCTAATGTAGTTAGAGATGTGAGGAACAAAGAAATGTATTTCCACCTGATTGTTTGTACAGATTTTCCAGGCTGAATCAATACAGTCTGAAATGCTGAATTTAATGATTTTTTTTTATTTTAATAGATCAGCTTACCATAGGAGCTGAGACCTCTGTCTTGGTGAGTACTCACAAATAAATTTAATTATGTCAGTGACTTCCTGGATGCTGATATTTACCTAAACCAAAGGATAACTGAACATTACTGTGAGATTATACTGAAATTTGCTATTCATTTAGATAGCATTTGGGGCAGTGTATTATAAAACAACAGTTCAAAATACATTAGAACCAATGTGAAAATACAGTGATTGTTACAGTGAATTTGGTCTTACAGATCCCTAGCATGGAAATTACTCAGTAAAATTAGCATTCCTTGCAGATGTCAATTGTATTTCTATAAACTAGCAGTAAGCCTGTTAAATCACCAAGTCTCCTAAATCCTGTGGTTTTCATGGGTGGTCATATTATAGTCTTATGGGAATGTCTGAAAGGATGAACTCAAGTTTGATCAAATCCCCTGTCCTGGGTTGTAAGATAAGCTTGTATTCTATTTGCCATCTGTCAAAGGTTGGGCAGGTTTGTTATCTCTCCCAAAGACAATGGTTTGCCCCGTAGAGGCAATGGTTTGTTTATACACTATTGACTGACTCACTGCAGGGCTGGTAAATGTAACACCATCCCATTGTGAGGGGTCCCACCCAGAGGGGGAAGCCAAGCACTCTATTATTGTATAAAGGGGTAGCTTTTTGGGGAGACGAGGCAGCTCTCTTTGCGGGATTCCCAGAGAAGCAGCTCCCTCTCTCTCTTTGCGCGATCTCGCAGCGAAGCAGCCGGTGAGGCGGCGGCGGCGGAGCTCGGAGGCAACCCCGGCGCAGAGGAAGACCGGCCCCACTGCCACCAGATCTTCAGAGGAAAACTATACCCTTC